TTTTACCAGTTTCCCGTTTTACCTTTCAGAAAAGCCTACTGCTGGGAGCATCAGGCGACCCTCCCCTTCCTCCTGAAACAAAACAAAAATGTTGCCCTGGCGTGTCATCTCACTTTGTTCTTACTCTTCTTCAGTAAGAAGAGGTCACGGGACGGGCAGCACACAGAGAGAGCCTTTCAGAGACACTGGGGAGCCTGGGGAAATGAATCCTCCCTGGCTAACAACTTTTTTTGCATATACTTTCCACAAGCAGTGAACCACGTTAGAACAGCCAGGCTCAGTCACTAAGGTTTCTCAGAACCCAACCAGAACCGATGAAACCTTTGTTCGTTTTCCTCTCTCTCTCTTTGTAGTCATGCTGCATGACAATTTTTTCTTAAGCATCTTTACCAGGTAAAAATTTATCATTGTTAAACTCCTGTAAAATGAAAAAAAAAGAAAAAAAAGTCTTACAGCGCAGCTAGATGTCTTTGTGGAATTGTACCAAAGCCCTAATTTATTTAGTAGAAGTTATAGCCCCATTTAAAGGTGATTTATGTTTGTAACAGGTGCCAAAGTGATTCTACATTGTTTTGCTACATCTGAACAGACAAGAGTAATGAATGTGCTGCTGGCAAGGCATGTTGGACCCTGCAGGAGAGCTGGGGAAACTGGGTGGTTAGAGAAACAAAAAAGGCAACAAGCTGGGAGGAGTAAGGAGACATTGAAACAAGGGAAGCAGCAAATCTTAAGAGCTACTACACGTCAGCGAAGAGAAAGAGACAAAAAAGAGGCTATGTCCCAGAAATAAAATCTTTGTTCCATCCAGCATTTATTTTTAAACCATATTTACCCGACCCTCTGTGTTTTTGGTCAAACTATTAATGGCCTTGGCATGTTTGCATAGCTAAGTCTTCATATTAACCTCGTCTCACCTCCAAAACATCTGAATGTTGCAGTTTGTGTGAAGATAACATCTCACTAACACTGACAGCGCAAGATTCGATCTGCGACTTTTAGGTTTATTTACAGCTTCTTTGTGTGATGGCGGCACCAAGCAACAGCTACCCTTAAAAGTGCAATGCAGGTGTTATAAACAGCATGCAGATTCTGACGAGGGGGGAGGGCAAGCAAACTTTAAGACTTTCTTAGTGTGCAAGCTGCTACAGCTTAAGCATCCGTCAGTGAGGATGCATTAATGCCTTCACTTCGTGTTGTGAAGCTGCAGGGCAAGATTTATCAAGAGGCAATGTGAAATATTTAAATGTTCTTCTTTATGGCTCTGCTTGCCTTTGTCAGGATTTTTGGGAACCATAATAAGGCATTTTCTCACAGTTTGGAGCGACACCACACCCTGTTTTGTGAAATCATCAACTGCGGTTTAGTTTCAAGGAACAAAAAACACACAAGAAGAAGAACAACAACAAGAGTAACATGACAAGACAAAACTGATGAAGCTGCTGTACCCATCTGCGTTTTCATTGCTGAATGTGTTAATGCCTGCTTGTACAGTCACACTGCAGGAATCCTTCCATTTGGAAAAAACACCATCAATTTCACAGCATACAAGTATAGGGGCTTCACAAATAACATGATTTTTCATGTGCTTGTTGTGGATTATGCTGCAGAACAAGGAAGGCCAAGTTCCAACCAATCCTGGATAATATGTGATTTATTCAATGTTGTGCTGCAGCACATACAGTATGTTCAAAAAGTGCAGACATGAAAAAATGTTTTTAGGGAAGGTTTTGCAGGGGCAGATGGGTGTTTGTGCTTTCTCTCATGATTTTTTCTTAGTATATATTTTGTTTCACAGAGTTAGTGTTCTTGTTGTGGGATCTGAAAAGACATTATGCACTGTCACATTTAACCAGACAGTAATCAAATGAAGGTAGATTCCTTTTGCTGATTTGGAAGAAAAGAAAATATGACAGAATATGACAAATGATGTTTGCTGGCTATGCTGAAATTGAGTGGACACATTTTTGTTTTTGTAAATTGAGAGATTGTTAGAGATGGTTAGACTGGTTTAATGCAAGGACAAGCATTCTTTTCAAATCTGTCATGGTAGCACATGTGTTCGCACATCAGTAGCAGTGACAGACAGAGTACGTCCACACGTGCTGCACAAGTGAAGTTCTCACAAACTGGCTCCTAACCCTGGATTTTAAAGGCAGTCTGTTTTGTCTGTCTAAATTATCACAGCGTTAATTTAATGCGTCTGACAAAAACTGCATTCCAAAACTCAGAAAATTCTGGGAGATATTTTCAACTCTCAACCAGTTCAGATAAGCGTCGTTGCAAACAGCAATCAAACGTTAATGTTTTCAATTGACTGTCATAATTCAGGTAAAAGAAAAACAGTAATGCTGCCGTAGATAAAACTGTTTTTGTCTGGTAAACATGAACATAATGGTCTGGCTTCTGACTCCCTTAACTGTAGCATGAACTGCGATTTGTGCTCATACTTCTCCTTTGAGTTGGAAAAATAACTTTAAATCCAACATTACAACTGTTTCAACACCATGGGGTAAAAACTGTTTCCACAGCGACTGTTCTTTGTGGGCAAGGTGAAGTCCATTTTACCTGACCGCCGCTCTCACCCACATTTCCTGCAGAGGGTCTTTGGATACGAGCACTCAAGCGGTTCTTTTGTTTTTCTGTAACTTCAATAAACTTCCTCGCATTCATTCATGCGTTCACCTGACATCAAGCCTCTGAAGACCGGCAACTTCTAAATGAATCTATTTTATCTGACTTCAAGTCATCAGATTATTTACTTTTGGCCAATCTGTGTTGACTGACTGCTGGGCATTCATAATTCACTGTAAAATTGCTGCTTTATCTTCTCAGCTTGTTACTGGAAAGAAGTAGTAACAAGCTGGCTGCAGATCTTCTGTCACCTTTGGAGACCTGAGGGTCAACATGTTGTGTGTGCCTTTGCTTTTTAGGCAATAAATCAAGACTGTCACGTAGTGCAAGGAGTAAATTTTAAATTCTAAACACATTTCTAAATGAAACAATAACTGAAAAATTATACCCAGCATGACAAAATAAAGCCTCTACATAAAGTCATGTATTTTTAGTTGTTTAAGTATAACTGGCTCATAAAACACTGAAAAGATACTGTGTTTCAAACACCAGACATGCATGTTAGTTCATTTTCACCTCTCACTGCAGAGCATCTGCCTCTATATGTGGGTGTGAGTGTAGTCTGTGAAAGAAGCAAAGATTTATCTTTGTCCTTTAGGGCAATGTCAGACCTATCCCTCCCCTCATCTATAAGACTCAGCAGCAAGTGCAAAAGCTGCAGAAACAGTAGCTCTGCATTTTATACCCTTTTTATGTGTGTAAATCCATCCTTTCCCCTCTGTCTCACTTTACCCGACATATTTCTTACATTCCCCCCCACATACCCCCCACCCCTTCTCTAATTAATTACAGCACACAACCTGGGAAAAAAACTGTGTAAGACAATTGAAGCAAAGATAACACAAATGGAGATATTTTATCTGTAGAGAAGCTCCAGGAGGTTTGCACAATCCCATTTGTTGTTTTTAGCTTGTCTTGACAGTGTTAATTTATTCAAGTTTAAATGGAAAACCATATGAATGTCAGAGACTCATTTACATATCCAGCTATGGCCTGATCTTTCAGGGGTCGTGATTAGAGGGTGTCGATCAGTAACATAGACAGATTTGCCTGAGACTAAATGTTACAATAAAGCCAATTTAGTCCTGTATTTCCAGTGATTCTTGAGAAGAGGGACAAAACAGGTCCTATGGATGAAGCACAAAATTTGAATAAAATATACACAAAATATAATTTTTTTCCAAATATCTGACTAAACTAATCTGGGCTATGTGAGCACAACAATATGTATATATTGCTGTGCTCAACAAATGACTTTGTTGACATTCTTGTTTTCTCTCTTTTTTTAAACAAAAAGAATGTAAAAAAAAAAATCAGGCATTTTACTGTAAAGATTTTATGGACCTGATGAGCTGCATTATGGCCTCCTTCATATAAATTGAGATAGTTTGGCATTTTGTCGACTCAGTCAGAGTTTTTAACTGACTGTGTGACTCTTTCATTGATAAATCTCACTTAAATGTGCAGTTAATTCATTTTAATGTATTTTACATAAATGGCATTACTTCACATGTATCAAGTATTTCTTTTTACTCCCTGCTTTGTCACCACCTTCAGTTCTGTGTCAACTCCTTCAGATGGACTTTATGTTGTTTTCTGTTTTAAATAATTTCTTTTGTTTCTTGAGAAGCATTTGTCTGTAAAACTGAGTAGAAATATCACTAATAGATCATTAAAAAAATATTTTAGATTTATTTTTGGCAGATGGTGATGACAAAGTTCTGGGTCAGGTACATTATATATGTAATTTTCCCCCAAAAATGTTGCAACTGGGAGCCTGCACCTTAGCATCTTTAAATTTCCAAAAAAAAAATATTTGCCATATTTGTCTACAGAAGCTTGAGGAATACTTAAAAAAATTTTGGGAAAATTTAAATCCATTTTGTCCCACTTCTCAAGAATCACTGATTTGCTTTAAAACCTCATTAAATGAAAAGATGACTTATCAGCAAACCAAAAAACTTTTATAATTATAAGATTTTTTAAAAATCTTTTATAGGTATTATAATTTTTTCTTTTCAACATATATTCTATCACAGTGGAATAATGTTGTCATTTAAATAAACTACACTATGCTACCAGAAACATTGGTTGCCTTCAAAATAAAAGCACACAGTCTTGACCTGATTCCAAACCAGCCACAGACTGATAGACATTACAAAACATCTTCTGTTTGCCAAACTTTTGAACTTTGCCTTCTGACACTTACTCGATAAAATCCATAGGTTAACATGATTTCTCAACAAAATCGTCCACATCTTATTTTGAAAATCCAAAGAGGAAGCAGCACCATTTCAGCAGCTTGACGCCTGTGTGAGTAGTCCTCCCTCTCCTCCGCTTTGCTTCACCCACTTGGCTTGGAGGACGTGCGGGTGCACCTTGCAGTCCTCCGTGTCTCCGTGGCGCAGAACGGGAGGGTAGGCTCTCCGTCAGGGTTCGGAGCATCTTTCCCGTCCGGAACCAGAACCTCCAGCCAGCTGTCATTCGCTGCACTTTTCTCCAGCCGGCGGCGGTGCTTCTTGGACTCCACTTCTGCCACTCATGCCGGCTGAATAAACTCATCGATCACCAATTAATCTGGGAATATCTGATCTCCTGATTCTTACTTTTGGACGCCTGTCGGATCGGGGGATGCGGATCCCAGTTTAGTACTGTGGTGAGTACACTGGGAGAGCAGCAACTAAACCACATTAGCGTATTAAGATTGCGCTCACGCCCACAGCCTGTGCTGCGTGTTCGTGTTTATGAGGTTGTGGATGAACGTCTTTTCGCGACCGAAACTTTACTGGACACGCTGTGCATGAGCTCATCAGTCATTCTGCTGTAAATAATGTGGCGCGCCTTGCATCCCTTTACTACCGTGGAAAAAAAAAAAACAAAGCAGGGTGAACCGTGAGTCAGCTGCGTGCAAGCCTGTTTAAAGGAGAGCGAGTCATCACGTCTCCTACCTGTTATACATTTATATAAGAACAAACAAGCATGACTGAGCAGAGAAAACAACACGGCAGAGATATACACAAGTTCAACATTTGTCACATGGTATTCTGCTGGGGATTCAGGTCTGGGTTCACGTTGTTCAAAGCATAATTCCCTCTTTATTTATTCTGATTTGTGAGTGAAAGTGTATGGAGATGGTCTTGGGCTGTTTGTGCGCCCTGCTGCCAAATGATTATGTGTAAAAAACAATACACACTAATAACACTATTGTTATTTCTATCTTGTCATTAATGTTAACCCCACAAGTCTTCAGATTCATCATTTGCTCTAAAGTAAAAAAAAAAAACACAACAAAAAAACTGAGGAAATACTCAATAAAAAAATAATTTGCAAAAATGGCATAGGTTAATTGCTTGACTTACCAAAACACAAAGCAGTTTTGGTACTGAAAATAGCGTATTTTAACTACAAGAGGCACAAAATTAAAGCAAATGTTTCAGCAAGTAACACACTTTCTCCACTTAAATTGCAAAACAACTGAACCTAAACTTTCCGATGAGATAAAGCAGAGATCTGCCAATATAGTAAAGCTTCGGTCTTAAGCTTCTGGTCTGTGGCTTATTGTATGATACTGATCTGAAACGAAAACCATAGTGCCACTAAAAACCTCGCTGGCGATGGTCTTGCATGCTTCCACCGCTCCATCACCGTTAAGTTTTTTGTTGTTTTTTTTTTTGTTTTTGCTGAGCCTCATGTGTCTTATGCTAGTGTATGGCAGCATCTGGGTTAAGCTGCTTCTCTTGCACTCACTCTGATTGACTGAGGCGTTGCTGTCATTGACCCCATCCGAGGCGGGCTGCAACTTATTCCGGTTTCAGGTTGCGGGAGGTGTTAATAATTTAACACTTCCTGGGCAGATGGACTGAGCTGTGCCTCAGTGTGACCCAGGGACCACCAGTTGAGCATCACTGTTGAACGTGAATGCATCGTCTCCTCCTGCTACGAGAGATGCACGGTTGCTTGATTCACATAAGAGTAAAGTTTTCAACTCTGTGTTTATTTAATGAGAAAACTGCAAAGCACACACTTGCTAACAGAGGACATGATGCACTAAGTGCTGCATGCGTCTCTGTCCTCGGAGTCGTATGCAGTCCTCCTCTGCATGCTCTACTGGAGGATGTCAGCCTTTTCAGCACCCGGTGATGCAGCAGTAGCTTATAGAGCATTTATCATCTGCCTTTCAAAGCTTAATGCAAAATGAATGAAAATAAATGCAGCTGTGTAAAGAAGAGTCAGGTGGAAACATGTTTTTATCCAGATTGCTCCTAATATTATTTCTGCTTTTGGAACTTGCAATACACACCCTACAGTCAAAGTCTCTGCATCATGTCTTCTTGCTGTTTGAGAGGCCATTTAGAGTGTTTTGGTAGAATATAAATAACACTGAACAGAATTACATGGGATGGTTGTTTGGGATGATTAAAATTAAATCATGCCCCGCTCTTGTCGCATCATCGTCTTCTGCTCTCCGGTGATCAAGCAGCTCTTTGTTCGGGCTCTTCTGGGTTCACCGCTTCAGTTGACCTTGTCTGTGCTCTGACCATGAAAGACTGCTTCCCTAAGCAGCAAGAACAGACATGAATTAAAAGAGACAGCTTGCTCCGGCGGTGCTGAAGACAGGGAGTCATGCAGGTACGAGCCACTGAAAGCAAGGGTCGGTCAGAAGTCAGCGGTAACAAGAACGCAGCAGGTACAGGCAGCAGTTGGGTCTGCAGGGGATAAGCGCGACCTGGTGGATGAGGGTGCGAAAGACAAAAGTTTTTGGAGAGCGAGGTCAATCTTTGAAGATCATTTTAGGGCAGATTAATGTGGAGGGAAACCCAGAAGCTGTTTGTCTGGAAGAGATGACAGTTTTGTTGTTATTAGGAGGGTCATAGCTGTGACTACAGGGAAGGAGTTTTGTGTTTGCCTACAAAAAATCTCACTATTCTGCTCTGAAAACATGATGGGATTTTTCTGTTGTCCTGTGGCTGAGCAGTCTCTCCGGCAATGGGATTCATTTGGTTCACTTGGATGGGACTTATTGTTCAGAGGTGAGTTTAACTTATGCCATTGTTAAAGACATTACAGTATTATTGCTAAATACTTTTGAATTTAGCAATAAATTCAAAAGTTCTTAGATTTTTTTCAAATTATTAATTGTGTTTCTTAGGAGTAGAGATGATGTAATACCACTATAAATACATACAGGGTTTCCCTCAGTGTATTATAAGCCTGGTGGGTCACCAGGCTTTTCTTGCCCCACCAGGCTTTGCATTGCTAATTTATCTTAGGTATTTTAAAACTACTGCCTTTTTTAAGAACTTATAGTTGGTGTTTGGATATTAATCGTCCAAAAATGTGTAACTACCAAGTGATATTTTCAAATTTCCTGTCAACTTTAAACATTTTTTAACTCAAAACATGGCGGCTGGCTGGATGAATGACAGCCCTAATGCCCCGAGCACTGAGCTTAGAAAGTTTTCTGGGGGAAACCCTGACATTGCTCTACTAAAGTTTTAGAACATAAATTTTCTTTATAGTATTGACATTTTAAATTGGCTTTTACATCTTGCAGTAATGATTAGCTAGCTAGCATTACTAAAACTGTAGCGTGTTTGGGTATTTTATAGAGTGAAGCTCCTTACCTTAACGCCGACGTTCCTAAATGTTTGATGACAGAAAGAGGCTGAGAGCTGGAAAGCATAAAACAGAGCCACTTGTTGGAATACATCCAGCCTTCCTGTTATCTTCTGAAAGTCTTATTCTCTCACAGCTTGAATGAGATGAACAGAGATGTCTGAATGTAAAAAGCCAAATAGCAGTTCTTTGTGTTTCCTCTAAATGTGTTTTTTAAACACTTTATGGTATTGCAGCTTGTGCAACAAAAGTGTGTTTTTAGGTCTTCTCTGCTGGCTGATCTCTAATTTTATCACTATCCCAGTAACATTTGGCAATAGCTCTGATATTTTGATGCTCAAATCAAAGGACATCCCAGTGTGTTTTGTGATGCAAGTTTAGGGAAATGGGGTGGCTTTATCAAAGCAGCAACTACTTTCCTTTCAACATTAAAGTAAATACATTCAACAATCACAACAGCCATTAATGTTTAGTGCTGTGTTATAATTTAATATATTATTTATATAATATATTTATAGTATACTGGTTATCATTAACATTCTTAAGAAAACCATTGCAAGTGCTGGAAAATAACATGTCGCAGTTCAAACCTGTGGAAAAACTTGAGATTTTGCATCACTTATCCTTTCCTCGTGTATTTTTTTGCTCTCTCTCACTACAATGCTTGTGAACTTGTCCAAAGGTTGACAGAGTAAGAGACCCAACACTGTGATGGCTTGTGCCTTTGACAGGCCTTCAAACGGGCTTTGGCTCCATGACAGCTTCGCCTCTGACACAGGGATGATAAGGCTGATCTCGCCGAAGGGTCGCGGCAGATGGACTTCACGTCTGGAATCGTTCTGTCGTGAGAGACGCAAAGAGAAGGAGACCGAAAGACGGAGGGCAAACAAGGGATTCTGGGGAAACACAAAGAGAGAGGAGGGAGTGTCACAGTAGAGACACAACGGGCATCTAATTACCTCCCAATAGGAGCTTTGACTCCATGGAAACAGCCTGTGCTCTCCAGAGCTGCTCTCACCTCCCTGTATGCTGTCTTATGTGCAGCTATTGGCGGTCAATCCCTATGGATTTAGAGGGGTCGCCGAAACAATTGAAGCTTATTAGATCCCTGTTGTGCTTCGTAAACCATTGCAGGAAGCATTTAGCTTACTTCAATCAGTAGAAGCTCATAGTAATAAAATTATCTATGGATTTGTACAATTTCTTAGTTCAGGTGTTACACCAGGTAGCCATAAATATTCCAAATCAAAACCTGCTGAACCTAATAACAACTTAGTATGCAAAAACTCCTATGTCTGTTTTATCAGTTTATAATACCTGTAAAGATAGCAAAGATATACATTTGTTATATTTTTTTACATTTCTCCTTGTATTGCATCTTATTATTGCATCTGATGATAAATTGAAGCATTAATTTTGAAATACTTTGACTCTTTTTATCTTTTTTTAATAAAAAGAGCTTTTTATTTAAAAAACTATTAAGTAGGTTATTTATCTCAAAGCTAAATTCAGGCTAAATTTAATTCAAACGTGTAACACGAGTGTTACTCTGATCTTGTTGCATTATTTGTTGGCCATGTTTGTTTTTGGTTGCATGTATTTAAAAATTATCCCACTTGAGCAAAAATGACTGAGATATAATGTGATGAAAACCAAAACTAAAAGAGACTCGACTTTGAAGTTTTATGTATTGCTTAGCAATGCATAAAGACCGCGTAAGAACTGATCTCACAACCAGGTTTCTAGACGTAAACTTGTAAATGCTGACAAGCTTCTGCTCATGTGGCAAACCTATTTGGAAATCTTCAAGTATTTTGTTGTAAGTGCCGTATATCACCATGCTACAATACATTGTTTGTAAGGGAGTGTTGGCAGCTGACATTTTGCTGTAACTTAGGCCTGGTTCACGCAGCTGTTGTCCCACCCATCCTTGTGTCCAGACTAATTTATGACAGCAGCTTCTGTGAGTAAGACGAATCGTGCTGCAGGTCTACGACAAATTGTTCAGGAAATCCAAAAGTCTGTCCTGAACCTCCGTGG